AGATAGATAGTTAGATAGTTAGCATATGAGAGAAGAGAGACGAGAGAGGGAGAGAGAGAGAGACGGAGGAGAGGATAGATAGATTAGAGAGATAGATAGATAGATAGATAGATAGATAGATGATGGTAATGGATGGATGGATGGATGGTATGGATGTGTAGGATAGATAGACAACACATTACATACGTATTTCTTACGAGATTCCATATGATTTTACGAATGTCGATCAAACTGAAAAACTTACGATTTTTACCGACTTGCTGAAAATTAATGTTTTTAATTGTGAGCGAGAAATATCTGGCGCATTAACATAGAGTGGCCGCAGCATATTGGATCACGCGTTTCACGTTGTTCTGCTGCTGATCTAGACGTTACGTCCATCATTCATTGCGCGCATACACATACAAAACAAAATGCCGCCTTCTGCCAGCAAAAGAAAAGCCTTACTATTTTTCTTGAATCCACAGGTTGGCAGGTCTGCAGACAGACAGACAGACAGACAGACAGACACACACACACACACACACACATACATACATACATACACAGATAGATACATAGATACATGATTACATTGATACATAGCATTATATACAATATATAGATAGATAGATGCGAGGCAGATGGGTGGTCGTGGGTGCGATGGATTGATGGATCGATAGATAGCCATAGCTAGATAGTAGATGAAATCGAGGCATCCGTTGCTGTCGTCGTGACGACGGACACGGTGATCTAACACGATGTTTTGTTTCGTCACCAGGGGCGCGGACGGGCCGCCGACGGGCGTTCTGCGTCGCGCGCGGACGCTAATGCAGTTTTGGACGGCGGACGTTCATCTTGGAAGACAGCCTGGCAACTCCAACACCGGCAGCAAGAAACGCCGACGCTGCCGGCAGGGCATCGCCCGGCCCGCCCCTGCGACGCCGACGGCAGCGGTCTGAGTTGGCCAGCGTCGCGAGGCCGCTAGCGGCAAGCTGTCCCTTGATGCCCGATCCAGTTCTCGCGCACGACACCCGAGCCGCGAAATTCGCTCGCGGGCTTCAACCTGCAGGCTAGCTGTTGAGCCTTCATAGAGAAAGCTGTGCGCGGTTCGGACTGGATGCATGCCCTGCTGCTGCCTGCTCATATGTATGAAGCGGCCGCGGAATGAAAAGTGTTGTCGGAGGTTCGCAATGTGCCCGTAAGTTGTTGCCGTGGTGTTGTTCGATTTAGCCGGGAAAGATTAGCGAGAATTGGATCGACTGCGTTGTGAATCGTTTGTTTATTCACTTTCGTTGATGACATCGCATGGTTTAAATGGTTAATGTATGATTAGTAACTGAGCAAACGAGATGGCGGTAGTTGTTTATATTCCGGGAATCTTATTGACAAGCTGATCTCTCTCTTCTTGTAAGGGGGAGGGAGGGGGGAGATATCGCCACTAAAGCGGTGTGAGGCTTGTAAGGGGGAGGGAGGTGGGGGGTAGATATCGCCACTAAAGCGGTGTAGTCGTGTATATACGTGCGTGCATGTATACTGCTGTCGCAAGCAAGCAAGCGCGTCCGGCCCTTTATTTATGAACAAATGAAACGTCATGACGTCTTCATCGTCGAGTGTTCATTGTGACGCTCGCCAGGTGGCAGTGTCGTCAGTTCTGTTTGTCGCCCCGTGCGGTTTTTCTACAGTGTGATGTAAAGTTCTCTCTTGGGACGGCGACGCCACGTGTTAAGCTAGGACGACGTGACGACCCTAGTGTCTCGCTGTGTCTCAGAGATTGAGGCACAGTTCGCGCCTCATGCCTCGAAGGCGTCTGGCGCTTCTCTCACCGAACAAACGCGCAGTTGTTTTGCGCCCCCTCGCGGCGAATTTTTTTATTACGCTGTTTTTTTAGTTTGATAGTGCAAGCACATTTGAAACTTTTTTTATTTTAATTCACGAAGAGAAAATGTATTTTTTAGTGGATATCGACAATCAGGTGTTTCCATGCGTGTGTAACACAGCGCTGGGTCACCCACGTGGCGTGGTTGCCTCGGGCAAAGGCAGCATATACTCTGTTCTCAGTTGTCGAAGCTATCGTTGAATCGATTTCATTCGGTTTGTGGGAATCCGTTGACGATATTTTGACGGTGTGGCCAGCGCAGCCACATCCCAACAGTCGAGTCTAGTTTTCCCCATGTACGGTGGATGCTCGAATGTTATGCTGCCATCTGCCCGAAAAAGTCTGAAGCTCCGTGCAGATACGGGGGGATTCTCTCGTTAACATGTCCCGGTAACGTCACTGCGGTTTGATGACACTAACCCACGTGACTACTACTGTAATATGACGTCGCATTGCTATAGTTACGATAGGTGCCGCACCCTAGTCGCGCTCGCGTTATGAAGTATAAAATATTGTGACGGGTGTGGGGCGAAACGTACACACATGTGGCGAGTCGGCGAGATATCGTACTGACAGTGTATAATGTACAAACAAACAACGGACGTGCTTTTGTGTAATATTGCGAGTGACACGTATTTTCGAATATTGTGTTTGCTCCCTCCCCCCCTCGTTGGGTCCTGACATAGCGGGGGGGGGGGGTGTTCTACGAACAACGTGGTATCACTTTCGGACAGCGAGGTGATCGTAATGGTGATGTATTATATAAATATATATAAGAGACAAGATGTACGTGTCTGATTAAGATATATGACGAGGTCGCTCGTTTTAATCCCTGTTGGGCCCTTGCGCTGCGTCGGCCAGTCAACACATAAAGTGATGACGTCATTGCGGATGTGTTCGCAACAGGGGGCGTGAGTGTCGTCGGTGGTTGAAAGTTTGAACATGCTTATTATTTTTTATAGAGTTTATCGATTTGCTGTGCCTGTGGCGGCGGATGTCGTCTGCGCTGCCGACGCGTTCCGCTCCTGACGTTCACTTGTTTGTCGTGCTCCGCCGATGTGGTTTGTGTGGCGTGGAGACTTGCAGGGGTGCGCGAGCGCGCGTGCGTGCGTGCGTGTGTGTGCGTGCGTGTGAGTGCATGCGTGTGCGTGCGTGCGTGTGCGTGCGTGCGTGTGCGTGTGTTCTTACAGGTATGTTGCCTCAGCCGTTCGTACGTCAGCAGGACGCGGTCTCGAGTTGTAACGCTAAACTCGTTACCGCCTTGTTTAATGACGGCACCGATCACTAGGCACCTGAGGTGAGCTTTGACGCTACAATCAAAGACATAGAACTGTGAACAGAAACGTGAGAATGTCATGAATGTAAACCCGCTGTCGGACATTACAAGCGAAAACATTTTTTAAACACCCCGTTTAACTACTCTCGGACTAGTGTTGAAAACCGCGCATACTTGGCGACAGAGGATTTAGAGGAAAGCAAGCATTTGTCACTCGTCTGCCTGTCTGTCGTCTGCCGCCCTGCGTCGACCCGGCCCCAACGAGAAACCCTGGTTCGAATCATGGTCGTTAAGATAGTCGTTAAGACTTGTTAAAACGGTCATTAAGGCTGCAGTTGTGAGTAGCGAATACGGTCGTTAAGACGATAAATACTGTCGTTAGGGTTGGTACTAACACTAATAATTACACTCGGTGAGACGGTCCTTAATACTAGCTTACAGTCGTTAAGACTAGTTAACCCAGTCATTAAGACGGTGGTTAAGACTAGTTTATGCAGTCATTGGGGCAGTCATAGGACTATGTAATACAGTCGTTAAGACGGTGGTTAAGGCTAGTTGATACAGTCATTAACACGGTGGTTAAGACTAGTTAATACAGTCATTGAAACGGCTGTTAAGGCAGTCGGTAAGACCAAGGCTAGAGTAGAAGAAGAATTTCCCTCTTGGCAGAAAACACACCGAGTAGTTATATTAGCCATGCTGTGCACAAGATGCCATGATATTCCGTAGTAGCAGCTTGTCATAAAAATTGACTTTTAAGGGCTAACAATAAAGGTTAAAGGGATCGTTTACTCTAGGTTCTAGGGTTATTTTCAGTTAATTTAGGTAAAAATTATGCTACATAAAAAGTTTCATGGTTCAATCACCATTAGAAATATTAAAAAATGTTTTAAAACTAACGACTACAGTTTGATTACAACGACGGTGGCGCCACTCAAAGCGCACGATTTGATAAGTTGCGCAAAACCACTTTTCATCCTAGGGCTACAAACCGAAGGTGTTTCTTATTTATA